AGCTTACGCAGGATTGAAACCCCTTTGATGTAGACGCGATGTTTCGTTGAAACTGAAAGGTCGCGTATACTGCGCCAGTGTGCGGCCAGTTCTGCTCTATGTTTGCGAAACCCTAAATTTGCGCGTGGAAGATATTCGTCGTCTAGACGTATTCGACTGCAGATGTTTACGTAGTTTGGCGCGGGTTGGATGGAGCGAGCTTGTAAGCAACTCCGAGGTGAGGCGTCGCGTATTTGGTAATGATTCGATGGAGAATTCGTTGCCCCANTTCGTTGTCCCATTGAAACCAGAGTAGTCGGCTTCGCTGGTTAGGACACGTATTGCGCATGCCCAGCCATCGTCTGCCGCACAGCGCCTTATTCTCAGTTACGGCTCCAGGTTGGAAGAAACCGCGTGGTGGTCAACGGATGACGTGGAAGCGAGGCATGAAGAAATGCACAGAGTGATTAGGTAGAATCGGTGTCTCCCGTCTTCCAGGTTGGGGTCCGAAAGAGTCTACAACTGTTTGGCTGGAGACATTGAAGGATATGGTGACTAACCGACAGCAGTGGCGTTCTTGTTGTCATATGCATAAACACTTGAATTGTGAACTCTGTCTGTTGAACATAGAAGTTCTTTTTCTTTGCCTCCCTCCAAGTAGGCCCAATCCCTCTCCATCTTATGCTTTATCACTTGATTTGCGTACATTGTGAGCTTGGCAGCGATCAGTGAAGCTCGCTTCACTTTATCTCGCTGTATGATGGTGATGACTGAATGTGACATTGCATGTTGGTTAGTCAATCAACGACCAAGTGAATAACCACAAGGAAGTGCGACGTATCGAGGGAGCGCCATTGCATTGTCAAATCCTATACACTTACGTATATGGTTGTTTTCAGTTTGCCGAAAAATGGGAATATATTGGAAAATGCAACTTCTCGTGGACACGACAAATCAAGAGAGTGACTGTGCTTGAACATAGATCTATAACCCCTTCTTTCTTTGTCATATCCTATCCTTTGACCAGATTCGAGACTTATATCTCTCGTTGACGCAACCCGCAGGTTCTATTTAATATATTCAGCATTCGGTGCTATTTGGTCAGTCTCACAGTTCTCTCTCTATCGTCTTATGGGTGCAGTACTTAACCTATTTCAAACATGTGAACATCTGGACCGTTCGTCCGTTGTACGGTCACAACTGTATATGCAGTGTGAGTGTGTCGTTCATTTACCGGTCTTTTGTTTCACTATTATTTCCTAATTACTGTCTTTCACTTTTTTGTACGCAATCGTTCTGTGAGCAGCCGCATTGGAATATTTTGTGCCACCTGCTTCACACTCGCATGTTGCTCACGCATTCGCTTAGTCATTTTTGTTTTCTCGTTTTTGATAGTGTGTTATAAACTTGATGGTGTTTGTTCTACTCTCACTAACTCACGGACATGTGTCACGGTGATGATAATGCCCCAGTCTATCGCCTCTGTTTGATCGTATACCCGCCCCGTCCGCCCTATGTATCTAAACAGGTTTTCCCCCCAGTGATGGTTTGGACACCAATTATCTGCACGGTATTCTGCTCACACCGTACAGTCTAGACCGATACCCGTACGAGCGAGTGGTTTGCACGAATCCGGACTCGACCGAGAAAACTGTGGGTGAACGAAAATTTATTCAAGCAATGCCTGTCACTGCTCCTTCCGAATTGCTGCCTTTCGGTAAACGTAAACCCGGTAAGCTTGAACTAGCTGCGGGTCGTCTAGTTTATCCACATTGTGAATTCTCGGTATGGGTGTGGGTATGTTCGTTTGCTGTGTATCATTCGGTGTTCTGTGATAAAAGGTAGGACGGATCACGAGGTCCCCGTGTTCGCTCAGAATAACGAGGAGACCAGATTAGGTATAGGTGTAATGTTTTTACCGGTCTGCTTTCAAGGTTGGTGGAAATGATCCGGTTCGAACCGTGGGGCCCGGTGCATGCCAGGAACGGTGTCATTTATTTGGACCAACTGGCGACCCTTTAGTGGTTGATCGCTTCCTCTTTGCTCAAACATTGCGCAATCACGCGTTCGATGAGAAGGAATTGAAATAAAACAAGTTTTGTCTTATTTTTACGGATCACAACCATTGACGTGGGCATAGGTGTCGTGTTCCAGTAAGTTTTTACTCACTATCAAAGAATAGATAGATAAAGTATAGGTCTGTAGATGTCTACAGTTTTGAAACTTCCGCTATTTTATTTGAGAAAACTTAAGTTTGTGTGTGTGTGTTATAACATCGACTAGAGAGTAAAGTTATATCTTTCTTGTTCGGGCGCAAAGGGTATGCGCAATCGGTGGGAATTAATCCATCTACTCACTCATATCCAGTACAGTCCAGTGCTGGATAGGAAAATTTCCACGTGTGAATTCGGGTTTCACTTGGACACAAACCTAGGACCAATTGTTATGAAATATTTTTATTTCCAACTATTCTAGACTTGAGTTATTGGACATGGAAAGTGATGGTGAAACCCGCAATAACGTCCACTAAATATGCACTCCGTCCAATACGACTTGTGTAATCCTACTTGAGTTGTCCTCAAATGGACAATTGCTTGAAAGAAAATTACTATAATATGGAATGATTGTAGCTCGGGATGCGGATGTTGGTGTGGGTGAATTCTCCGAGCTGGAAGTGTTGTTCGCAAACGTTTCTTAGCTAGGCAACATGCTCAGTGCGACGGATGATGTTGCCTAGCTTGGCTACAAAACGTCTTCGAACAATTCGTGCAGCTCGGAGAACTCACCAACAGCACATTATTATCACCAGTGTGTCTCTTGCCTAATCGCTTATACTCATTTGTACTTCTCTAAAACTGATCTCTTGTTTTAATCTCCTTTCATCTGTTCCAGTTACTGTTCCCAATTCGGAAACGAAAATGAAAATCCCTCTTGATGTTCTACTCTCCGCCCTACCCGATGAGGGCAAAGAGTTGCTAGGAACTGCTTTCATTGCTATTCTCGCCTCACAACGTGATAACGAAGCTGCTGAGCCGTGCTCAATCCAATCACCTGAATCTCATTGTAGCCCTCAACGAGCAACAAACAGCGCAATCGCTGTTCCCCGTATGGATCCACGATTGCGCACAGCTCGTGTTGCAGACACACAAGCACTTGTACCTCCTGTCACTCAAAGTGCATTCATGTCCAGTCCGGGGCACTTTGGTCCGCCCCTTGAGCTTCTACCGAATAACGCAGCAGCACCCAAAGTTGTCGAGAGTATGACATCTGTGGTAGAGCCAGAAAATGTGATCGTTTCTACAACGTCCTCTCCTCCAGCTCCGACTAGTCCTCCTAGGGAACCGGATGCCTTGGAACTTGAGCTTGCGAAGTCCCCGGTAGAACCCAAAGAGATACCATTAGAAAATGATGTTCCACCTTTGTCGTGTTCCAGCCCAACCTCCGGTGACAGTCGCTCGTTCGTTCCATGTGCCGTGACCACTGAATCCCTGGATATGGACGTGGAATCATTTAACACGCATTCTCGGGAGATTACTGCCCACTCACTCTCCAACTCGAGTGACATGGATGTGGAAATTCCATCGTCCCGTTACCAAAGTCCTTTCAAAATTCGATACCAGCCGTATACCCCACCCACTCCTCAGGCTTTGCCTCGCTTATCGGGTCCTTTCAACGACTTTTTGGGCCAAGACAATCCACCAGATCTTCGTCCTCGATTTTTTGAACCTACTCGTTGGCACTCACCTAGAACCTTTGATGATCGAGTTCGTCCGAATTCACCTCTCTCTCGTTTCGAATTTCCCAGACGTGCCCTTTTTGAAGAGGGAGCAGATAACACGCATACTAACCCCCCAGAAAGAACCTCTAACCAAAAATCTCAGGATTGTCGAAAGTCCGAATCATTCTCGGTTCCTGCTCGACCGTCACGTGGTGCAAGTCCCTCGCGTTTCATTCAACGTCATCATTCTGGCTCAAATATTTCGGAAACCTCGACGACGGAGCTTCGGACTGGAGTCTCTCCGCGTCCTGACACGGATCAACTGGCTCGGTTTCAAATCAACGCCAGTCCACGTTTGGTGCTTGAAGATGTGGCAAAAACGCACCCCTATTATTTTCATCCTCCTGAACGAGCCGCGCCGGTATACGAGAGTGAGGAGGGTGAAATTGTCGATGATGATAATGAAATGGATGAGTCAGAAGATGGTACGCCCTCGGCAATCACAAAGAAGAGAAACCCAAAAGCGTATCCCGATGGTTACTATAGCAGTTTTTCCAGTGATATGTCCAGTAATGCTAGTCTAAATGTCGTAGACGAATGGCACGGTTCCTCATTTGACAGTTCATTCTCCCGAAGCCGTTCCACATCTTCGCGCAGTTCTCCGCAACGAAAATCTGAACGCCGAAAGCATATGAATTATGTCAACCCTACTCGTCCGACAGAAAACCATTCGAGCTCCAAACTCCGTAGATGGTTGCCTGAAAAATATTCAAATGAGTTCTCGACCCCTTACAGTCCGTCTAGACGCCGCACTGGTTCGTTTGATCAGGCTTCCAGCTCTGGAGCTTTCACTCGACCGGAACAAACGTTGCACCAATCTGCAGACCTTGCCCGGCATTCAGCAAAATCGACGCCGGCTACTCCATCGAAAACCAACAATCCACTTTCCGATCCGGTCGATAATTCCGATCATTCAGTTGTGGATACCGAGACATCATTGGAGGATGAGGATATGCGTGTACCATTGTTAAGTCGCTCAAATCGTCGTTCGTTCCCCTCGGAATCGCATGCATCACGTGATCGGACGTCAGATCCAGTGCCGATACGTCCGATGGAAACTGGCGATAATAATCCTGTCAGTCGCTCACAGGTATTTAGCAATAAGGACGTCGATTATCGTCGACTTCCTCCCGAAGTATCAATACCATCACCGCATCACTCACATCGGGACTTCTCATCCGGTTCCAGGTCCTCATTACCGGATCGCGACTGGACTGAGGCAACAGAACCATTACCTCGCTACTCGATTTATCATCCAAAATCAGTGGATCGTGAACGTCCGGATTCGGGTAAGGATTCTTCATCACGATCGCGGTCGGACTCAATCCCCGAACGCAGAGAGGCATCTTGCTCATCCGAATCNCGAGTACATTTGGTACGCACAGTCGTTCCAACGTATCACGCGACCATCGTCATCACTCTCGACCGGTTCGTTCCCGATCGCGAACAGAGCACGCGCAGAGCAAAGATGTAAGCCAGTCGGATTCGAAGCGCCGCACAAGTAACTATCGAGATTCTCCCCTTCTACCCACACCAATTCCTACCATAATGAATCCTGGCAGCGGTTTACTCCCACTTGTCCGACCCCCTGTTTTACCGCTCGCAGGAACATTTATGCCTACCAGTTTCTGGCCCTTCCCGAACCCGTTTAATTCTGCCAACCCCGCTGCTCCTCAACCCCCTGCACAAATGTGGAAATAACTCTGCAGGTTAGTTGTCCAAAGTTGGTCGGTGCATTTTGCCTCGTTTTATCTTCGTCCATTTTTGAACAATACACAACGATCCTTGTCGTTCTGTAACATATTCATCCTGTTCATTTCCTATCCAATCCCCAAATTCGGTCCTCGTCTCATCTGCTTATCAGATTTGTTTTGTTTTTTTTCTTATTTTTCTATTCTACTCTCAACCATTCACCTAGGGTTTCAGCTCAGAACAGTGCAACAGTTTCGTTTATTCGCCCCCAATCGATTCCATACCCAGCAGCGTAGAAACGCCATGGATTCAGGCCCCGTTCTCCTTCTTCCCAGGTCTTTATTTACATCCTGTTTATCGGCTCCGGTCCTGTACAGTTCTGGTTACTCTCAAACTCTTTTGCATAACAGTTCAGGTCGATAAACGTCAGTGTCGTGTGTTTCTCCCGCAATTTGCTATTTACTGGCACTAGTATTTTTCTGTGTGTGTGTGTGCGCGCGCGTGTGTGTGTGTGACTATGTTCGTGCCAGTCGCCCCATGTCGGAACCAAATATGCCTGAGAGGAGTGAAAAACGACCCGTAGTGCATCTGTTCAAAGGACATCCGTCCATTATTGTCGACTTCTTTGTCATAGTCAGAATGTTGGTAAGAAAAGAAGCGCTAATCGCATAGTTCTGGAGGAGCATCCGCTGAATAAATAAGCAAGGGTTCCCAGCTTAGCTAATGTCATTACTCAGTGGAGGCAAAGGGGTGACTATACCAAGTGAGCTTAAAATGTTACCCCCATAATTCACATTCAGTCCAGAAAATCCAGTGGTTTTGTCAGATTCATCCTAGTCGGCAAGACGGATCACACACTCCAGTTGTTTACACACATTGGATTGAAGCTGCCGAATGACGGCAGCTGTACTGTAAATGAAGGTTGACGACAAAGTGTCTGTTTGTTACCCGGATGGACTTTGGTATTAGCTTTTCACACGCATTCTAAGCTAAAAAGGGTGTCACGAGATGAAGCTGTTCAACACCACGGCCGATGTTGTTTGTGAGGCAATTCGGTTTGTTTTGACATGTTCTCTATACCCGGTTCCCCAATTGGAGGAAGGAGATCGGTTTGAGGCACATCATCTCGAGCCCCTCGCCAAAACTAGTGAAACTTCAAAGTCGCGATCCAACGATTGCGTGTTCTTTGGGTGCATATCTGGCATTGTGCTCAATGAGTTATTTTGTCAACAAATACAGTGTTTTACGAGGGAACGTATTACCAGTAAACAAAGATTCATGGCTTCCTGAACCAGAAATTTTCAGTGAACTGAGTGATCCGATGATCTTGATGTTTATTGAGACCTGCTTCACAAAGCGCCTCACTATAAATGCAAATAACGGTGACAGTTTTATACGGCGACTTGTATTTGTTCGTGCTGTCAAAGTGCGGGACTGAACGGGGAAATGCCGTCGGGCGAAATGTTCTGACTGGGATTGAAGTATTTTGTCACAGTAAATGTAACTGATTTGGTCTGTGAGATTCCACTGGCGTATGGGATTGTCTGTATAGATCTGCAAACGACCATGTAGTGCTCCAGCAGTAAAGCGACCAAACAAAATAAGAGAACTGTCTGATGAGCAAGGACGAGGTTGCCTCGATCTTGACAGAAAAGCAGTCATTCACTTTTTACTCTTCTCAATATGAGAAAACCACGTTGAATCTTGGAATAAGTAAGGTCATTGTAGTTCTGTTGCGAATTGTGGTATCTCCACGATCACGAAGACGCAACTGAGAGCATTTGCTTTCTATTTATTCCAAGGGAGAATGGAATCGTTACATCTGGTGGCACTAATTGATAATGATTATTTAGTGATGGTCAATATTGCAGAAAAATTAATGTAAGTTTCTCCGATTTCGGTCTTCACACACCGCCCCGCTGCCTTGAGGGTCAGACTTTGGTTAATCAAAGGCTCGTGTTCCGATTTCTTTGGCCTGGGCACTCTCTGTCGGTAATCCACCCGCAAAAGAAAATCACAAAACTTTCTTTTTTATGATGATTATCATGCCCTGATTTGTTTGGCATATAGTCTAGATTCAGACGGGGGTGAAATAGAAACAAAACCGACTGTTCTATTATCCGCATGCACAATCACAAAATCTGCGCTCTGGAATTCGGGCCAGATTGAGAATCGCTTTAAGGGATAGATTTGCTATAGCCCCGCAAAATACTGTTCGACCCATGCTGATAGCGGTCAGTCTCGTCCAGCAGGTCACAGCGAAAAGAATTTGAATTTATGGCTGCAGTTAAGCGCATTCTTTCATACGAAATGCCTTGCCTGAAATAGCAAGACTTTTTAAGAGTATGCGAAAGGAATAGTGAGTGTCGTGTGAACCACTTATTTTGCCAACGATGATGTATTCATACGGTCGTTTCAATGTCTTAGAAAAGGTAATGTTCCGTATGCGGGTCAAATGATGGTACTACTTTGAAATGACCGTATCCATCATCTGGCTACTTGTCAGCTTAGTTGAATTCCATTTCGCCGAGCTTGGCAATTTGCCTGCAAACGTTTGATCACCAACCGAGGTAGCATCGTCAGTGCTTGTGAATTGACAGTTTGTACTCTTTCCTTAATGTACGTGTTCTTCTCCAATGATTAGTTTTGTTCTCACTATGTTCGACTCGGTTCTCCGTTGAACTGGTGCCGAGAGGGGAAGAAGTTGTTCTTTCGTCTAGGCTGCGGCTTTTGTCCGTTCTCAGCTCATGATGTGATCTTTGGCGTCCCATGATCCTGGAGTTACATTGGCGTGTACCCATGATCCAGTTCGATGTGCGTGTCAACGTGCTATCTAACCGCGAAAACAAATCACCCAAAATACTGAAGACAAAAAGTATGTTTATCCTCCCAGAAGATGAAGGATAAATTACTGTGGTTATGGACAAACTGACTATCTTCAAACGGCTAAAGAACACCTAACGTAGAATCGTTGCGGGCTGCAGCACAAAACTCTCCAACGAAACCAGCGCCAAATTGAAACGACTGAAAGAACTTCAGCACGTAACCAAAGAGGAGCACTGGAGAATAAGAGCCAAAATGTCCGTTATCGCCCAATTCTACGGACTGCCGAAAGCACACAAGTAACGAATTACCCTGAGGCCGATCGTCTCCTTTCCAGGAACAGTCACATGCAAGTTGGCAAAAGAATTATGAAAACAACTGAAGCCATTCATCGCAGGACACGAGCATAGCGTGATTAACTCAAGGCGCTTCATGGGCAAGCTCGAAACTGTCAATAGCCGAGAAGACGAAATAATGGTCTCGTTGGATATCACCGCTTCGATCGACTTTGACCTGGCAAGATCCAAGTTGCGGTGGTCAATAACCGGACACCCATCAAACCAACCAATGGAACCAGATGCCATCTGCAAACACATGGAACTGTGCATTCAAGCGTACTTCGAATTGGAGGGCGAAATCTACCAATAGCTGAAAGGAGTGCCAATGAGATAAATCAACAATTTCATTCATTCAAAACCGAAGCCGTAATACGGAAGTTGGATAAGGAAGAAATACAAGGAATCATGCCAAAAACTTGGCTCCGACATGTTGATCTCTCATTCGTCATCCTGAAAAAGTTTGAGCTAGAAAGAACACGCAACATCAATATCACATCTACTGACACCAAATTCACATTGGAGACGGAGATAGATAACCAACTGGCGTTTTCGGACATCTTGATCGGCAGAACGCCATTAGGAAAACTGGAGCCAATTGTCTACCGCAAAGCAACACATACGGATCCAATCCTAAACTTCAGAATTAATCAATCACAAAAGGTGCTGTGTTAGAACCCTGTTCGGAAGAATCCAAACGCACTGCAGCACCGGCATACTTAAGAAGAGAGAAGAAGATACCTCCTCAGAGTATTTGCTCGCAATGACTACATCCTCATCAAAAAGTTTTGATTTGAAGAAGGAAACAAGCAATAGACGAAGAATCGGAAACAAGAACGACCCTGTCGTACATCAAGGACGTTTCGGAAATGAGAGCAGGACTGCTCAGATCATATGGAATCCAAGTCGCCCCTAAACCAATCGCCCATCTAGAGAGACTCCCTTCAAAATCAAAGGAGAGAACAGTGGAGAAGAACAAGAGCAGTGTTATCTACAAAATAAACTACAAGAACTGTCCACAACACTATGTCGAACAAACTGGAAGAACACTATCAACCAGCATCAGAGGCATGACCCATTATCGTTGATCTCCCTCCACGAAGATCAAGAAGGACATCAATTTGACTTTAAATCAGTAAAATTCATCGGCCAACCGTAGTCAAAACACTCCCAAAAAAATTTTTCAAGGCTTGGCACTTCAATCAACTTAGTAAACAGGCGAATCAAACTGGAGCACATGACGCAACCAGAGGTCGTTTCGTGGCCTGGGAGTGGACAAAAGCCGCAATCAAGACAGAAGATTACCCTCGACCTCACCCTCATGCACCGGTTCAACGGAGAACGGAGTCGAACACAGTGAGAACAAAGGACAAAAATAGTCGTTGGAGAAGAACACGTTGAAGCAGAACACTATCGCTCCACACGCACTAATCATGTCACCTCGGTTGGTGAGGAAACGCTGGCAAGCAAATTGCCAAGCTTGGCGAACAGGTGAAATGAATGGGATTCAGTTCACCCGGACTATGAGAACCAATTTTCAATACTTTGTTCATGAATTCCATCGTTGTTACACACAATTAGTCTTGCGACATCGACCTTGTTTCTCATCTGTACCATATATCGT